AACTCATATCGAAGTAAAAAGATGCAACAAGATAAAAACAACTACCAACATCCACGACACATGTCCGGATCACTGTACAACAGGGTGGTAAACCCGGGATCGCTATAAGATATATAGATAGATAGATAGATATAGATATAGATATAAATATTTGTTTTAGATTTTTTTTAATATACAAATTATTTTTTTAGATTTTTTATAAAAATAATTTAACAATCCCATCATAACTACAGTGTATGAGAGAAGTTGAAAAGGGTATAGTAGTAGGTATAAGAGAAGTCAAAAAGACTTGTGAGTTAGAAGAAGTCAATAAATGCTAAGGTTTTTTTTTTTTTTTTTTTTTTTTTTTTTTTTTTTTTTTTAAAAAAAAATTCAAAAACTTAGAACATTAAGATTGGAATATTGGAGCTCTCACAAGGCTTGTGAGTTAGAAACCCCTTTTTTCCTTATATATAGATATAGATGTGAGATATCATAAGTATATTGGAAGAAATACTCTTTAATAATCTAATTGTAGGTTATATAGTACGTGAATGATATTTCTCTGCTCCATATAGGCATGTTTATATTCTAATTCTAATTTTCATGTCTTATTGTTTATCACAGTGTTAAGACTAATAATCAATCCATTAGAATAGACTTGTGTTTCTAATTCTTCAGTTACTTTTGGGGATGAAAGCAAAATTTTAAGAACCTTAATCTTTTACAGTAGTTCCTTTATGGTAGGTCTGAATTTCTGATATCGTTTTATTTGTGAGATATTTCATAGTTTTGCATCATCTTTGACTCTCCTAATTCCTAATAACTAACACATCAATATCTAAAGGACTCTAATTCGCTTAGGCTACATGAAAAACCACCAACAGATCTTAGTTTCTGTATCAACATTAGGAACAATTCTGCAGTTACTTGAACAGATTCATTTTTCCGTTTTCAATTTTCACCTGAAACATTTTATTCTTGAATTCATTTTCACAGTAGTGTTGGAGAAAATGGATGAGCAAGAAGGTTTCAAGCTGTTTGGGACCACAGATTCTCGAGAACCTGAAAATGTAGCAGAAATACTCGAGCAAAGGGAGTAAAAGCTCTTATTTTATGAATCCACTAAGTTAGGAAAAGCAAGCAACTTGCGCAAAAGTTTAGCTTGGGATAGTGCTTTTTTCACTAGTGCAAGTATGCTTTTACAAGAAATCTAAAATATTTGGTGCCTTCTACCAATGTTAACTCATTTCATATGATTAGAGCAAGTTAAAATTTGAAGTCATTAATGCTTCATGCGTGATTAGGAGTTCTAGATCCAGAAGAGTTGTTTATTATAAATAAAGGATTTGAGAAGGCTGGAGCTCACATATTACCCGTAATTCAAGAAGATCTGTGTAGGTGGAGATATGTAGACTCAGAATCTACATTAGATAGTGATGACTTCTCTTTGGACAACAACCAAAGCACTGAGGTTGATCTGTTTGAAGAAATAAGAGCATCCATTGAGAAATCCAATTTAATGTCCAATATTTGCAAGTCAATTTGCAAATCAGGAGTTGGAGAAGCCCACAAACGGGAAACCCACTGTAAGTATATTGCAAATTCAGAACAAATTTTATTGTTAATGGAAGAAGAAATTTTTGCCTGTTCATTTTGTATGAGAATTGCAATGTGATTGCTTTTAAGGTATCCCAAAGAGATTTAATGGGTAATCAGGTCTTTTGCTATTGTTGCAGCAAGAAATATTGAAACCTCACGTGTCCTAATTTTTTTATCTTACTCTTAGGCTTAGTAAGCATAATATCTTGTGTTGAGGATGTAACGCCCCAAAAAATTGGGTAGGGTATATCTATTTATACAATAAACTGACCTGATAGACAAACACATATATATAGCTAACTATTCCATACATCCATTTCCATTTAACTAGCGGTAACCCGTGCGATGCACGAAAAAATAAACTATATACATTTTGTGTGATATATAAATTATTCTAATCTTGAATTATATTTTAATAGCAGCAAGCCATGATGTTAGGCCATCTTGGTTGATGTTAACAATAATTAATCTTCAAAATTTCACAATAAAAATTTGATATACATAAAATTTGTTAATTATATAGATTGTTAGGATAATAGTATTACAATCACTTGCTAACATAAATAATTTGTATCAGACTATAGTGTCATGCCAAAAAAAAACAAAAAAAACAAAAAAAACAAAAACAAAAACAAAGCATTAAAAGAAATAAATTGTATAAGTTATCATAAATTTACTTATTTTAAATCAATGATTTATATTATTATTGTGGGACCAAATTATGAATAAATCTCAACTTTTAATTATAATTTGTAAGTAATCATTCTCCATAACTTGAATAATACTTGCATAGTTTCTACAATATTAGGCATGCTACCTGTACCTGAAAATGATATTCCCATATAGGGTGAGCCACAGCCCAGCAGAGATATACTAAACCAATTATAAACAATGCCTAAAAGATTAGCAACTGAAAGATGGCCAGTACTTATACCTCAATTTATATCTTATTTCAATTCCATGACAACTAAGTCTATGATACAATTCAACTTTCATTTCTTATTCAACTTTGAGTTTGAAAACAAGGCTCAGTACTCTGGCCAAAACATTTGATGAGGTTATAGTTCATCACTAGAACACCTTCGAAATTTACGGTGGATACCCATTTTGATGTTATATCAATAACACACAAACTACTTCCATACTTCACAAACGATGATGATATTCATTTTAGTGTTATATCAAATCAAACCAACTTTTCAATAGATAAGCATATGAGCTATATCAATACCACAACAGATAAGCATATGAGCTATATCAATACCACAACAGATAAGCATATGAGCTATATCAATACCACAACAGATATAGTATTTCTCTATCATCTTTGTATTATATTCATTAATTTCATATATCATATGAAAGTTTTACTTGTCTCAATCTTTCAATAAAATAAGCACCAAGAAAACAAATTTGATAAGAAATTAGTTCTAAACTTTATTAATAAAAAAATAGAAATTTCAAAGAGAAAATTTAGAGATGAGATTGAAAAAATACTATAACAAATGACAATCTTATAAAAAAAAATAAAAAGAAAGAAAAAGAAAAAACACATAGCAATGATCTAATGTAAACTATTTTTAAAAATTAAAAGAAAGAATATCAAATTATTACCTTGGATAAATATAGTGACGGAAAATAATTTTGTGAGATTTTTGTATTGCCTTCTCCCATACAGCTTTCATTATTTAATTATTAATACTCTTCTTATTCATAGCCAACCATTCTTTTTTTATATATATCTTTATCACTTGGTAGATAATAACAAATAATAAAAATTATGAGGATTAGGTTAAGAGGAGATAAGAAGTTATAGATAAGAGTATTTCACAAGATAAAAAATTCAAAATAAAAAAAGATAATATGTGATAAAAGGAGAAAAAAAATATAAGTAAACCAAAATAAAGATTTAGATAGATATGTTTTTGATAGATATGGATTAACAAATCATATATTTATCTAAATTTTATTATTTTAATATTTTTTTAATGGTACATTCAATAAATAACCATAAAACCAAAATGAAGCCTCAGCTTCGAGTCCTCCCAAGTCAGTGCCTTGGCGGAGGCATAACATATGTACCTGAAATGGTTTTCCTTATAGGGTGAGCCACAGCTCAGTAGAGATATACTACACAACATATGAACCATGACAAGACTAAAGAGGAGTATACTCATGCCATGCTCATGATAAAACTGTTTATCTCTCTTTTTATAAAGCATGCAGTGCTGAGATGCAATGACAGATATAAAACCATTTCTATTTTGAACCATATTTGTTACATGAATACAAGCTCTGTGAATCTCTAGGTGAGTGTTTGCAAGTAGGCCCTAACGCACTACCACTGTCATTTTTACCAGTAAACTAGAAGGCTCGACACCTAACCATGCGGTTCTACACCCCCTACCCAGATTCACCAAGTATTCATTTTTTTGCAAATAGATACATATCCACTCATTTCCCAAAAACAGATACATTTCTAATGAAATGAATGTAATGCAATGTCCAATGCAACAAATAAGGAATGTGGTTCAATTTACCTAAGTCTCATGCATTTCTACAACAATCATGGTTATCCTCCACTGATAGCCCAAAATAGATATTCCTAAACAGATATTTAAACAATTAAATTCTAAAAATTTTGATAAATACAATCTATTCCACATCTCATCAAATATGAACAACTACACTAGTTTTCATATCACAATTACGTCCGAAAACCTCTCAAGGTCCATTTCTAACCGTGTCGGTTTTATTCCAATAGATACATTAAGCAAAATAATACCGTTGATGCCCAAGAAAACATCATTTTCCTTCCAAACTCATTCTCCAAGCATTATTCTGCCCAAGAAAACATCATTTTCCTTCCAAACTCATTCTCCAAGCATTATTCAATTATGACATCCTATTTTGATCAAAATCCCCAAAAGTTAAACATAATTCATTTATTTTCTTAAAAATGCTCTTTTGGTCAAAAACTGGTAAAAATTTCAAAACCAATCGAGTCCAAGTCCGTTTTTGTTCAAATTTAAAACATAACTCTTTCATAACCTTACAAACATATTCCAAGTTTACACTTTTGTAATTTGGGTATCAACTCTTTATTTTTCTCAAGATTTTTCTTTTAAGCATATAAATCACAAATTTTTCAAAATTTATAATTAAATTATATACAACTCTAAGATCCATATAATCAAGTAAAAGTGCATAAAGAAGTGTAGGAAAAATCCCTACCCAGATTCAAGAGCTTTCAAGAAAATAAAAATTTCTAGCGACAAAAATTCGATTCATTCAGATTAAATCGGAGCCCTTGGAGCCCTCTACAATTTGATCTATGGAACTAGGGTCTAAAACCCAAAAGGTTTTGATGAATCAAGGATTTTATATAATATAAATAACCAAAGAAAAAATTTCAGAGGGAGAGATTTATTTCTGTTGCAAGACAATAACTTATATTCAGAAACGGGCACTATTGAAATTTAGTCAATGGACTCCTGCATCCAGATTTAGATGTTGATTCTACCATACAAGCAAGTGAAGCTGCAACTAACTCCTCAGACTGCAAAAAATATTGGATTAGTGATGGGACTCATAGCATAAACATAACTGCATAAGGAAGTTGACTAAGAGGAAATATGGGACTCTTGGAGCAAGTCTTTACCTCCTTGTAGCCTATTGACAACCGTGTCGCGTAATCATCAGCCACATGCTGCTTTTCGGTGCCAGTAACTGCATCATGATGTTGAGCAATTGCCAAAGCATCAGCTAAAGTGTCTGTAGTGGGTCCTATTTTATTCCTCCCTCTAAAAAATTCCAATTGCCTTGCAAGCTGCCATGTATTGGAATCTAATAAGCATCACAATTTGAAATTCTTTTCCAGTAAGCAATTTGCTGGTCAATGAAAGCCAAAATAGTTGTATAAACCTACCAAATAATATCCACTCATCACTCTCACGTAGCGTTTCAGAGAAGGCCTGCTATTTGATTATATATATAGTATAGATCCCAAATGCCAAATACATGCTGTTCACATCTCAATGCCCCAGTTCCAATCCCCAGCATGCATTTTACAACAAGTATTAAATGGAAACCAAACAGATAATAAGTGCCCTACAGACTTCTAAATTTATCCAAAAACTTCTCAGTTACACAAAATGGAGTTTCAACTCAACGCAAATACAGCATTGGGCTTACATTCAATAAATAACCATAAAACCAAAATGAAGCCTCAGCTTCGAGTCCTCCCAAGTCAGTGCCTTGGCGGAGGCATAGCACATGTACCTGAAATGGTTTTCCTTATAGGGTGAGTCACAGCTCAGTAGAGATATACTACACAACATATGGACCATGACAAGACTAAAGAGGAGTATACTCATGCCATGCTCATGATAAAACTGTTTATCTCTCTTTTTATAAAGCATGCAGTTCTGAGATGCAATGACAGATATAAAACCATTTCTATTTTGAACCATATCTGTTACATGAATACAAGCTCTGTGAATCTCTAGGTGAGTGTCTGCAAGTAGGCCCTAACGCACTACCACTGTCATTTTTACCAGTAAACTGGAAGGCTCGACACCTAACCATGCGGTTCTACACCCCCTACCCAGATTCACCAAGTATTCATTTTTTTGCAAACAGATACATATCCACTCATTTCCCAAAAACAGATACATTTCTAATGAAATGAATGTAATGCAATGTCCAATGCAACAAATAAGGAATGTGGTTCAATTTACCTAAGTCTCATGCATTTCTACAACAATCATGGTTATCCTCCACTGATAGCCCAAAACAGATATTCCTATACAGATATTTAAACAATTAAATTCTAAAATTTTTGATAAATACAATCTATTCCACATCTCATCAAATATGAACAACTACACTAGTTTTCATATCACAATCACGTCCGGTAACCTCTCAAGGTCCATTTCAAACCGTAACGATTTTATTCCAACAGATACATTAAGCAAAATAATACCGTTAATGCCCAAGAAAACATCATTTTCTTTCCAAACTCAATTTCCAAGAATTATTCAACTATGGCATCCTATTTTGATCAAAATCCCCAAAAGTTAAACATAATTCATTTGTTTTCTTTAAAAATGCTCTTTTGGTCGCAAATCGGTAAAAATTTCAAAACCGATCGAGTCGGAGTCCATTTTTGTTCACATTTAAAATATAGCTCTTTCATGACCTTACAAACATATTCCAAGTTTACACTTTCACAATTTGGGAATCAACTTTTCATTCTTCTCAAAATTTCTCTTTTGAGCAAATAAATCACAATTTTTTCAAAAATTCTAATTAAATTATATACAACTCTAAGTTCCATATAATCAAGAAAAAGTGCATAAAAAAGTGTAGGAAAAATCCCTACCTCAAGCCAAGAAGCTTTCAAATTTTTTTGGCAACATAAATTAAATCTGTTCGGGGCCAAACGATGCATTTTTCGCCCTCTACGTTTTGATCCAAAGCACTAGGAGTCAAAAATGACTTACACTAGATCAAACCCAAGAAAAACCAACTTCGAACCCCTTTTTTCTTTCCTCTCGGCAAGAACTCCCAAAAGTATGAAGAAAAAAAAAATCTATTAGGTTACTATTTATAGATATTTTCTTTTTTGCTGTTTTGTTTTTAACTAAAAAAATATCTAACCATATATATATACACCTATATATATATATAAATGGAATACAGAAGAAATAAAAGAAAGGAGAGAGTATGTTTGATTACAAAAATCAAACCAGAAAATAAAATAAAATAAATAAAACAGATTTTTATTTTGTTACAAAAACAAAATCAAAATCTGAAATAGAAAAAATAATAAAACAGAAAAGTAAATTAAATACTTACCAAATTAATTTGTTGAACAAATTTTCTGATCAAGTCCAGTGTTTAGCACTGTGTCCTTAAGACAGATTCGTCTTCTCCACGGTGCTTTTGGATTGTGAACGTCTATCTCCTAGGATAAAATGATCAACAACGAAAAATTGCAGTACTACAGATTTTTCATACAACGAACACATTCAGTGTATATACTCTTTCTCACAGAAAATTAATGGAATTAATGTAGCAAAATGCAGGGATGAAAGGCAGCAGAGAAGAACGAAAATTGGAGTAAAAAACCAAATGAAGGACTTGTCTTATTTATAGATGATTTCGTGGCTGTACAGATTTGAATGAACAGGTGCAAAACCTGTTTGGTTTGAATGAATAGGTAATGTGGCTGTTGGGTTTAAAGTTAAACAGATATGAATTTGTTTGGTTTAAATTCAAACAGATATTCATCTGTTCGGTTGGGAAAAAATCGAAGCCCATTTTGAATTCAATTTTCGAAATTCAAATTCCAAAAAATTAGAATTTAATTTTAGAAAGATAAAATTCAAATGTTTTTGGCCCAAAATGATAGGTATTGGGCCGGACAAGCCCAACCCAACCATACATCATGCACCTGCGCCCAAGCCCAGCCCAGGTCGCCCGGCCGAACGGATGGACTGCGGCGGCGCACGCGTGTGTTTATTTTGGATCCAATGGGTCTAGCCCACTTTGCCCATAACTTTCCTCTCTACAAAACTTGGGTGCCCCTTGGGGCCTACCCCAAGTTCCAAACTCATGGCTTATAAACCCACTCAAAGTATGCCCACCAAATCAATGTGGGACAAGCCTTAAACCAAACATTTAGGAAATTTCACCAAAAACACCATTTCCATGGAGCTCTCTTTGGCTTCAATTTCCCATTCACTTGATAATGGTTTTGAGCAACCAAATATACTACGTGAATCACAACGCGGCATAGAACGCATTACCACTTAGACCCGCCAAATTTGGCGCATGGGTCCCACCTAAAAATTAGACCAAAGTTGAGGAAAAGTCCTATTTTTTTTCTTCCCAAAACTTCCAATATCATTTCTGACAATCCCCCACATGAATGGAATTTGATGACAACGGAAATGCAACAATATGCAAAATTTATTGAAATAGTATAAATCGAAAATATCTTGCATCATGATAGGTAGCTTTTGGTCTTGAACCTTCCATAGTGATAATCTATCGGACTTACTAGCTAACCAATGGACGTGGTGCCTTGAATTGTTCAGCCGTTTGTGTAAGCCAAGACAATAGATTTGACACAAAATATCTTTTAACACATCGTGGTTCTCACGGTTGTGTTCATTTTGGCCTTTAACGCTCTTGGTTTTCATGAGTGCTTCTAGAGAATTTAGCCTCTTTATTCTCATAGAATCGGCCCCAGTTCGACACTCATATAGGTGATTCTTATTATGAGTATCTCCTTATACTCGTCTTGATTTTTATGCTTAAATCAAGATATAAATAATCATTAAAAACAAAGCTTATCCTTAGACCCTTGCATGCAATATATGTTGCAGATATCACTCTCACCATAGGAATGGGTAAGGAATTTTAAAACCCTTGCTGATTTCTGGCGAGCCACACATAACTTAGTTGTCCCTTTAAACTTAGTTCTTGGGTCATCTAAGTAGGGTTACCATTATGATGACTCTTATGTTAGGCTTTAATCTCATCCCCTTTGATGAACTATACACTTGCTCTTTTATCAAATCTTTTGTTAACGGATCCGCATTATTCTCTTTAGATTTTATATAATCTATTGAGATTATTCCATTTGAGAGCAGTTGCCTTACGGTACTATTTCGATGACGGATATGTTGTGCCTTACCATTATACATATGATTTTGTGCCCTGCCTATTGCAGATTGACTATTACAATGAATGCAAATAGCTGGCACAGGTTTTGGCCACATTGGAATGTCTTCTAAGAAGTGGCAAAGCCATTCTGCTTCTTCTCCTATTTTGTCTAAAGAAATGAACTCAGATTCCATTGTGGATCGTGCGATGCATGTTTGTTTCATGGATTTCCAAGAAATAGCAACGCCTCCCAGAGTAAAGACATATCTACTAGTGGATTTTGAATCTTTAGTTTCTGATATCCAATTGGCATCACAATAACCTTCTAGTACTGTTGGATATCGAGTAAAGTTTAAACCATGATCACGGGTAAACCTTAGATATTTAAGAACCCGAATGATCGCTTTCCAATGGTTTTTTCTAGGGTTATTAGTGTACCTACTCAATTTACTGACAACATAAGCTATATCAGGACGAGTACAATTCGTTAGATACATTAAGCTTCCAATGCTTTGAGAGTATTTTAGCTGAGACACCGCATCACCTTTATTTTTTGATAAATAAAGACTGATGTCTACAGGTGTTCTAGCTACATTTATATCATCCTTGATAAATTTACCAAGAATTTTCTCAATATAATGTGATTGAGATAATGCATATCCGTCAAATGTTTTAGTAATTTTCATTCCTAATATAACATCTGCGACCCCCATATCTTTCATATCAAATCTTCTATTCAGCATTTGCTTAGTTGATTTGATCATGTTTTGACTGCTTCTAATGATAAGCATGTCATCCACATAAAGACAAACTATGACATATCCTTGGTCAGTGTTTTTAACATAGATGCACTTGTCACATTCGTTTATCTTAATCCCATTAGTAAGCATAGCATGATCAAATTTTTCATGTCATTGCTTAGGAGCTTGTTTTAATCCATAAAGAGATTCTACAAGCTGACAAACATTTTTTTTCTTGCCCTGGCACTACAACCCCTTCAGGTTGCTCTATATAGATCTCTTCATTTAGATCACCATTTAAGAAAGCTGTCTTAACATCCATTTGATGTATTTCTAAATTGTACAACGCTGTTATAGCAATAAGCATGCAGATGGATGTTACTCTTGTCATAGGGGAATATGTGTCAAAATAGTCTAGACCTTTTTGTCTGTAACCTTTTACCACAAGTCTTGCTTTATACTTGTATATTGAACCATCTGCTTTCATTTTTCTCTTGAATATCCATTTATATCCAAGAGGTTTAGAACCGGGTGGAAGATCCACCAATTCCGAAGTATGATTT